TATATGGACCATCATTATGCACTTTACAGATTTGATCTAGCTCATTTCGTTTAGGAGTAATAAGAAAAACAGAGTGGCGGAGTTTTGTTGAATGACTAGATATACTGTATAGTGTTTGGCAAATTCTTATCGGCAATACAATCCCCAAACTGTATTCATTATAACTATAGTGTTGCCAGGTGATTTTCACAAATTCATCGATTAAATCATTTTTAAGTACATTTTTCCGGGAAATTTTTTGAGATTTTTGAGAGAATTCTTTGAGCTATCCTTGAGTTGGCAAAATAGTCCTTAAAAGTTATGTAATATAGTAATTACTCAAATAATGTGTCCAAACTCAACAAAACATGTAAATATGCAAGCTTTTAAATATTATTACCTTAGAATAAAATAATTATATATCTTCTTTGTAAGCTTCAACAAAATATTTTTTAAAATAAATTCTGAATTAAAAATTTAAAGTATAATATTTAGCTTTATTCTAATTTTGCAAGCAAAAAGTGTATATGTTGATTAATGTTTTCATTACTATGGAATTCCTTAAGCTATCCATATCAAGGGAAACGGGAGTCGGACCCTCATTCCGAAAGACTCTCGGGTAAGCGGCAGCTTCTGGCAACCCTAATACCGTAGGGAATGGACACTCAAACCCTTTCAATAGTTATATGTTAAACAAAATATAAATGCTTTAAAATTTTCATATCAAGTAATTCAATAAACAAAATTTAATTGACACAAAACAGAAAATTTAATCATGGTCATAGTTTACTATGCTGTGCTTCTATCGGCCACAATCAACAAAGACAATTGTGCTTTATAAGATTTGTTTGTTTATCCATTAATATAGAAACTACCATGATCAATTCAATAAATTCAAGCAATTCTATCGAGCTATTACAATTAAATGAGTTAATGATGAGAGCAATTAATTAAAAAAAATTAAAACATTTCTAACATAAATGTGTGTAAAAATAGTTTTAAAATGAAGTTTGAGTTGAAGTTCACTCAAAGCGTGTATTGAAGCCGTAATTGATGTGAGTATTGGAGTCTGTGTTGACATCCCTTTCCGTTTTTGGTGCAAATCGTGTGAACTATTTGTAAGTATTGTTTAATTTGTATTGAATTTAATTTAATTCACATTTAATTATCATTATATTGTTTTCATTGATAATATGAGACACAAACCTTTGGATCCATTGATTGAGACAAAGAGTTGTGGCAAAAAGTAATTGGTTTTATAGATTGAGGATTAAGTCGATAGAAAACCGCATTTTTCTTAACAATTGTCTGAGTTTTCAATGATATGTAAACTCAGACCTGAATTGCGGCCAAATTGAAGACAATCTATGAAATCAGTCGATTATTAATGAATACATGTTTTAATTGATTCAAGACTATAGATATATCCCATACTTAAGTATAGGCCGTAATCATGGGTCGTGTGCCGACTGTCCACTCGAAGACTTACGTCACGCCTCGGCGTCCCTTTGAAAAGGAAAGACTCGATCAGGAGTTGAAACTGATCGGTGAGTTTGGACTCAGGAATAAGAGAGAGGTCTGGAGAGTGAAGTATACTCTGGCGAAGATCCGAAAGGCGGCCCGAGATCTGCTCACTTTGGACGAGAAGGACTCGCGCCGTCTGTTCGAAGGCAACGCTCTGTTGCGCCGACTCGTGCGGATCGGAGTGCTGGACGAGGGGCGGATGAAACTCGATTACGTGTTGGGTCTTCGCATCGAAGACTTCCTCGAGCGTCGCCTTCAGACGCAAGTGTTTAAACACGGGTTAGCGAAGTCCATACATCACGCGCGGGTCCTCATCAGACAGCGACACATCCGAGTCCGCAAACAAGTGGTGAATATCCCGTCGTTTGTCGTCCGACTGGACTCCGAAAAGCACATCGACTTCTCGCTGAAATCGCCGTTCGGTGGCGGACGACACGGACGGGTGAAGCGAAAGAATCTGAAGAAGAATACCGGCGGAGCCGCTCAAGAAGAGGAGGAAGAAGACTAAAGACATGAATTACGGACTATATTAACGATTAATGTCTTGGTCTTAAGTTATGATTCAATAAATTTTGATAGACTTATGACTTAAGAATTTTTATTTTTTCAAACATTAATTGCAAACACAATGCGTTGTAATCAGTCGTCGTAGAGCTCGTCCTCTTCATATTCCTCGTCGATGTCCACCTGTGGAGCCATTCCTCGCCTCTTCTCGATCTTTTGTTTCATGAATTTGACGAAAGAATGCATTTGTTTTTTGTTTGGGATCTCTTTGATCTGGAACTGATGCCACGGATGCGGCGTTTCATCGATTGTTGTATTTTGGATCAGCTTTTGATAGTTCTCTTTAAAGAGTGAGAACTCATTTCTGAATCTCTGGCTTTGGAAGCGGTGATCAATCTCTCTGTTATTCCAGTCATATTCGGCCAATAGTTTCGTGAATTTAATTTTGATGGCCTCTAAATTCTCAATAAATTTATGGTCGGCTTTGATGTGATTGTCTTTCATGTAATTAATCAACAAATTAATGTAATGAAAGTTATTTGTTTTGCACGCGTTTCGCAATAATCCGCCCATAATTTGAATGTTTGGCCTAATGTTGATGTCATTCATATCGGAAAGAAGTTGTTTTCCTAAAGCGATTGAATTGCAGCCCAAAGAGATCACTCCGAATGTGAAGATATCTGGTTGAAGACTATTTTGGCTCATTATACCGATTATGCGTTTCGCGTCAACCATTCCTCTTCGCAGACAAATGTGTTTTATAAGAATATTGAAGAAATCTGTGTCTAATTTAACGTTAAATTTCTCCAATAAACCCAAAATAACATCTTCTGATTCTTCTTTAAAATCAATGAGTTCTGTCATTAAAGTCAATGTATTTATATTGGGCTTAACATTGAAAACATTCATCATTTGAACAAATCCTTCAATTCCTCCCAAAAGCATAAACCGATTCCAACGAATGGACAGAGAATTATAGTTAATTTCAATGAGATTTTTCTCATTCAAAATATTTTCCATCAATAGATTAGGAGTTCTTAAAACTAAAGACTTGTTTTTCGGTATTTCTTCTCGTAATGGAGACTCAGTTTCTCTTATGTTTGAAGTTTTAGGAACTTTTTTATTACTTTTAATGTGAAACGATTTGTCTTGTGGTCGACGGTTCGAGTTCTCAACTAATAGCTTAAGATTCTCTTCGGAACCGATACCACAATCCCT